TCCTCTCCTCTTCCTCTCCTGCTTCTTATCCTTCTCTCTCTCTCTCTCTCTCTTCCTTTTCTTCCGCTCTCTCCGCTCCTCCGTCTCCTCCTTGTCCGTTCCCCCTGCACTCCTCTCTCTCTCCCGGTCATTGTCTCCGCTTCCTCTTCCTCCCTCTCTCCCTTTCTCCTGTTTCCGCTTCTCTCCTCTCTCCTTTATTCGTCTTTCCATTCCTGTCGCCTCCTCTCTCCTAACCTCTCTCTCCTTCCAGCTCTCCCTTCCTCCTTTCTTACCTCCTCTCTCCGTCTCTCTCCCTCTCCCTCGCTCTTCTCCTCTCCTACGTTCTCCCTTCTATCTTCTTCTTCTCCACCTTTCCTTCACTATCCGCCTCCGTATCCTTTTTCTCCTCTGTCGCTGCCTTTTCTTGGTCTTACCGCTCGCTTTGCCACCTGCACTGCCTGCCCCTCTCGTGCGCCTTCCGTACTCCCGAGCCCCTTCCCCTTCCACCTCCTCTTCCGCTGGATCGACTGCTCGAACTCGAACACACTTCCCTTCTCCCGTCCGCGATCTTCTGTCTTCCTTCCTCCTCGCACTTTCCTCTCCTTCCATACCTCATCCTGCCGACTCGATCGCTCGAACTCTCTAGCCAATCTCCTTTCGTTCTCTACAGTCGATCTCTCGTGCCCGCTCTCGATCTCTCGTTTCTCTCCACCAATCCTCTTCACTCTCTGTGTCTGGTCTCCCTCCTCTGCTCCCCTCTCTCCTCCTTCCTCCTTGTTCCAAGATCGCCGACTCATGCCGTTTCACCTTTTCCTTGTCGATTTCTCTTCCGCCTTCCTAGCGGAAGTAGCCTTCTTCTCGCCTCCATGTCCTCTGTTTCCTCTCCCGTTCCTCTCACTCTCACTTCCTCCTCCTTCCTCACACTCCACCTTAAACCTCACTTTCGACACTTTTCTCACTACCCTCTTTCACCAGTCTCTTTTCTCCTCGCCATCTTTCTAATAATCTATTTTGTAGCAATGTAATGTAAGTATTTTAGAAAATAAAACACTAGATTATCACACATTTTTTAATTATTTTACATACAAATTTCAGTATTAATACAATTTCGACTTCACTACTCAAATTACAATTTGTCGGTAGATTAATATTAGCACCTTTGAAAGTATAATCATATTGCCACGGGGCTTGGCTGACTCCAACATTTGTTACAAAATATTCACTTAAAACATCTCTTTGTGCTTTAGCAGCATGTGTACCAGAATTTCCCCCCATTTTTCGAATATTTTGAAACAATGTTCCTGGTCCTATCATGCCACGCCATGCTCCCTCCATTATTTCGTGATCTGCATTTTCTCTATCAATAAGCTTTCGTGCACAATAACGACGTCGAAATGGTTCAAGTTTTTCCACCATAGTTATAATATAATTATGTAAACAGACCAAGGCTTTTACTATTTCCTCCACATTACTTAAAGAAAACTTCATACACTTATTGAGAATTTGCCATCGGGCACCTAAAATACCGAACGTATTTTCTATGGTACGGCGACCTCTTGATAGTCTATAGTTAAAAATCCTTCGATTATCATTTAGTTTTTTTTTACTGTAAGGTTTCATTAAATGCAGATGAAGAGGGAATATTTAATCGCCTAAGAATACGTGATTAGTTTTGATTGTTGTCCCTGGGAGATTCTTGGGACCTGGAATTCCAGCAGTTTTTCTTGAACTCTGGCTGCTAACTCAGTATTGCTCCATACGCCGCTGTCACTGATCCCTCCTACAAAAAATATAAAAGAAAGAATATGATTGATTTTCCTAGAATATTGCAAATGTAATCAAATTTCTAGTATAAGGAATGTTTATTTACCGTACTGCCCAATGTCCACCCATACAAATTTATAATTTGCATCACATATTGCTAAGAGAACGATGCTAAAATACTTTTTGTAATTCCAAAAATCGCTTCCTGAATTGGGTAGAGCTTGGATTCTAATGTGCTTTCCATCGAGAGCTCCCACACAGTTCGGAAATTGCCACTCGTTAAAAAAACCTTCAGCAACTACAGACCATTTTTTTTCGTCAGGTTCAGGAAGGAATGTTGATTGGAGTCCATGCCACAGTGCACGACAGACATCATGGACTAGTATACACGGTAGAGCGTCCAACGCGAAATTCCCAAGCTTTCGAATTTATGCTGTCGCCATGTGCGAGGAACCTATATGCAATGGAAATTGAAATACGAGATCATTAATAAACATAGTGATGATACAATCCAACTTAACCTAACTGTTGTGTGAGCGCGTTACTATGCGCGCATCCGAGGATGTGCGCAGTGATACCTGCGCACGATACGTGCGCAGTGGTTAGGTAGGGAGCGCGCTGGAGAGAGAGTCAGTAGATCCTCTCTCCTCGACCACGCTGGAGATCTTGTCTCAGCGTTCCCGGCGGCTTGCCGGTATATCACTTATACCGCTATATAATAAAGCAAGTGTGTTATACAGGGTGATTCAGAACAACCACTTGTCCTTAAAATGTCGTATTCTAAACTTAATTCTGAAATGATTTTTCCTCTTGCAAAATTTTCTCCGAAGCTTAATTTTTGAATTATAAAGAGGAAAAGATATCGAATGACGGGCCAGATACTAGAGGCAGGCAGGAGCGGCGCGGCTCACCGTCGTCGCGGGCGCTCTTGCCGTAAGCGCCCGCGACGACGCTGCCATCAGCTGATCGCGACGCGCTAGTACACACACACACACACACACACACATTCTCTCTCTTTTTCACTCGCGCTCTTACCTTGCAGAGATGATGTAGAGATGATTCGATGACTTCGTGTTGCTCTAGTTTCTTGAAAAACGATGAGAAAGATGCATTTTCCGATGGACCGTAGCTTAGAGCAAGTTCATTGTAACTTTCACTAAATTTAACATACATTTTCACTAATACAGATCAACTCATACATTTTCACTAATAGAGATCCACACTGAATAATTAATCGGAAATATTTTTTATGTTACTATTTTATTTACTTCACAAAAGAGACGCACACAACACACAACACATAACTTATTAAGGTTGCAGTCGACTTGACGCTACAAATGTTTCAAA